ATCGGTTAGATGGAGTGGAGAAAGCGACGGTACTCATGTACCTTAGAATCAAGGCTGTTAAGAAGCATATGCGTTTGGCAGCGCGCCGAAACCACTGAAACAGCCTCCCTGAAGCAACTGCACCCGCCATTCGAACAGATCAGTTCTAATCGGAAACCGATAGTTTCTAATAGCTAATGAGTACGTTCATTTCGAAACGATGCTGATCTCTGCAGACTCTTAGTAATAATAATAATAACAATAATCATAATAATCATCATAAATAAACTAGGGAAAAAATGTTCATTTTAAGGCACTTACAGACGCTTTCAAACAGAAAACGATGTTTCTTTATGCGTGCAAATAACGACTTAAAAACCACATACTGCATCGCATACGGACAAAAGTTATAGCTAAGTTCATAATCAGAATCAGTTTTCAGTGTCGCATGTCGAAAACTGCTCCAACGGCACATTAGTCGTGTATCTGATCTTTCGACCTGTCGTATGGCTGACTAGCAACACTGTATTCGTGGAAGTCCAGAGTTCCAAATAAGCGAATCGCTGCCACGTCCGCAGTCAGTCATCGTACATCACTGCTGCCGCCGTCGGTCGAACTTTCGCGGGGGCAATTCGAAAACCACGTGCTGCAAGGTGTGCGTGGTGCATCTGGTGCGCTTCAGGTTCTTCAACCACCATGCAGCCGTGGTCACAGCTTGAACGGTGTCACGACAGAAGCGACGGGATGTGGTGACGATCTCAGCGTCCCCGGCATCAGACACTGAAGCGTCACGATCACCGGCGCAATTGGCAAACCACAACGAGGTAGCTACCCAAGAACAACAAGCTTATGTTTTGTCCGTAGTATCATGTATCTTACCCGATCTGTCCAGCCACGATGCAAGCAGTCAAATTCGAATTCTGCTCTGGTTGAGGTTTCCACTGAGGATAGGTTACCCGCTGAGAAATATGTTCGCCGACACGGAGGCAACGATGGAACCCAATATCTTTCGAACGTTACGTCGTCGCCTGTCCAGTCGTCGGCAGGCTCGCTTCGAAGTCAACTATATGATTTACCCGATTTACCCGCCTGTTCCCTGTTCCATGTTCCCTTTTACAACAGATGACCGCTGTTCGATGCCAGCGCACCGCCACACTTTCTGGCCTTTCGTCATGCCATCATTCCTAGCAGTTTCATATCGTTCCTTACGATGACATCGCGCCACTCTTCCACTGGACCAGGCCATCTGTCTATTCTTCCCTGGCGGTATCAGTGCTAGGACCAGATTTCCGACATACTCGACGGAGCCTGCTTCCGATCCGCGTTTCCGAAATTTGTGCCACGCCTACGGTGCCTCTTGTGAAGCAACATCGGATGTGGTCTTTTCCGCTGACACAACACACCTATCTGAGCGTTTACATTTCTACCGAGTCTAGCTGTTGCTCGCATCTCTTTAGGACAGCCAAACATTCGGCTGCACTTATATAAGTACCGGTCCAGGTCTTGCTATCGTTCCGTAAACCCTTCCCTATAATCTGATGGGCATTTCTACCTCGCAGAACATGCCGCTTCTTTCGTCCTTAATTCACTGCCAACGTCCCCTCTGTCTCGCAGGGTAGAAACAACATACCTGAACAAGACAATTCGAATTCTTCGACTTCACCCAACACGCTTAGTCCGACTGAGAATCAGAATTTATCGTCGACGACCGCAATCAGGTAGCAGGTTGACACGTTAACCATAACTATTACAACCAGTATAATTAATAGCCGTTATATGTATTGCTTATACGTGTACGACGGTCGTTCGTTCGTTCGTTCCTGATCGATAACGAACAACAAAATGAGTCTTTCAAAGCGTGCCACCACCTTCCGATCAGCACCTCATTACCGCAGTGACGTTTTGATCATTCGACGTCCAGCATTTACCGACGTCAATCATCGAACACAAGGTGAAACGGAAAAATAGCCGTCATATATAAAAAAGCATATATCGCTCATGAACGAGGACGACGGACGGTAGTACGGTGTTCGACGCCGCGATGTGTCATGTGATCCCATGTGCTCATTAGTCCGTTTGTTCCGTGTTCGTCCATGGCAGCTGTTATCATGAACGCCGTATGATTATTGCCCGTGGATTATTGGACGTGTGCTCGCCGGCCGGATCGGTCAGTTCGATTCACAGCACACACAAACAGACCGTCGGTGGCCACCGCTTCGCCTTCAGTCGAGTGTCAGGTGACAAGTCGTTAAGCGCTGCCCTCACCTCGTCCGTCTATCGCTGCTGCTTAAGTAAACTGATTCCCTCGGCTTGTTTCTCCAAGTTCAATAGACTCTTTCGCAGGCGGTCGGCCGGGTGGCTGTACCTGGGAAATTCTTCGACACCGGTGTGTCACAGCAAGGCACACACCAAGTATACTACTTATGACGTAGCCATGAACGGGCCTCGGCAGGACCGTTGCTTTTTTGGAAGAAAAACAAACGGTTCTTCGCACGACAAAGAAGAAAAGAACGCAAAAACCGCACCCAGACCTCAGCCTAATCTTTAGTCAGCAATAAGTCAAGAAATTGGCCCTGCTACCCTTCTTCCTCTGTTTATTAAGGAAACATAAGCTTCTGAAAAAGAAAACAACACAGACAACGGAAAACGGATAAGCAAAGAGTGTCCATAACAGAACGAAAAAATCTGACGACACGAGTTTTTTGGCGGCAGATGAGCGACGCCCGTCTTGCCACAAAGAACAAACGGCAAATTTCAAGTCAGCAACGACCAGCAGAAAGGGTAATCCCTTTTTAGGACATACAGCTGGCCAGCGTGGTAGCCGAAACCAATTGCAAAGATCGAGTGAAATGAAAGACAAAAACGAAAACGATCTTCGGACCCCCCCCAGTGCACGCAGCTCAAGTTCGACTACGCCTGGTGTTGTGACCGATGGACTGAACTCAAGGGGCTGTAAGCGCCCAGTTGTAGAAAACCTCGCCTGAGACTGATCGATGAGCTACAAGCGAGGTACGTGGCGGCGACAAAGACAAAGAGCGCGAGACAG